ACATTGCTTTGCAACATGTAAAATTGTGGAACAACAATTTATCTGACTCTACAATATACAGTGCAGACTTGTATGTGTCTGTCTAAACATCTAAGTACAGATGTGATTTCTTATGTATAGTCAAAATTTTTGGTTTGAATTTGACAAAATACAAATGGTGGAAATACATTTGTTTCTGGTAAATGAACATTTCTGTTGCTCAAGTTTTTCACCCATTTTAGTTGACTGCTTTTGTGCAAGAATACTTAAACTGTTAACTTGAAAATTGCCATTTACTTTTCATCTATGGGAACATTACCTATGAACATAAAAGTAAATTGTAGTCGAAATGCTAAGTCAAGGCTTGAAAGAGTGATTGAGCACCTGGTAGAAAGGCAAGGCCATCCCATGGGAGCTGGGATGCATGCAATGTATCTGAGTGACTGGATAGGGTGGAGCCAGGATCCACCCCTTCCCAGACCTCATTTAAGGGTTTGCAGTGGAGGCAAATGTATTTTGTTGGAGATTTCTGTGTGTTAGAAGCCTTGTAAAATTAAGTGGCTGTTTTTTTTTTTGTTTTTTTTTGGTTTTTTTTGGTTTTTTTTTTTTTTTTTTTTTTTTTTTTTTTTTTTTTTTTTTTCCTATGCTTAGTGCTGTTGCATTTGAACAAATCATCACTTGTTGCAGCATGGAATCTTGTTGTTTTGCTGTGATTGTTGCACTTTTTGTCATGGTTCATTTGGTGAGACAGGTTGGTCTAACAGTAGTGTACTTACTTAGGTTAGAATGGATTATCTTAAATGGATAATGCATTGGCTGGTCATCTGGGCCCCTAATACTGAAGTGTGGAAATTGAACTCTAACCACAGAGTAGTATAGAGTAGGTATGTTTAATCAGCGCTGCACAAACACCGGATGCAGGGGGGGCATTTCTACCTAACCTGCATACCAGAGGACAAGAAAGGCACACATTTAAAGAGCAAACTGCTTACGCATACATTAGATGTCCAAGAAAGGGCTGGGTTATTACGATGAGTCCCCAAAATGTTTGACATCCTCCCCTTACCCTAAGTCTCAGCTCTTTTGCACATGCGTATCTCTTGGTGGTCTTTCCAATGAAGGTCTTATTTTCTTGGACTTGGGTTAGGATGGAGGATGTTTGGCTGGCTCTGATTGGTTGTCTCATCAGCCACAATTCCGCTCACCAATCCACTGCTTCTTTGTTAATTTGTGGTTTGCTGCTTTAGTGTACTGTCTCACATTCCAGACATAGGGGAACTAACAATGTTCTTTGACAAGACAGGAGATCTGTTGTCTATGCTAATTGTCTAAGTATGTAGAAAAGCATCTGTTATCAGCAGCAAGAACCTGGCTTAGCAAGGTCAAATCTGCAGCTGCTGATTCAACACCTCATCCTAACTTACTTTCCTTAATTCAGTTCCCCAGAAGAGGAAGTCTCAGGGGAAACACTGGGATTCTTGGGTGCCACATTGATTATTGAAGAATGGGGACCTGTAAGGGACAATGGTCCCAATATTAATTTCCCTTCCGAGATGGCAGAATTTTTGAATAAATTAGAAGAGCAAACTTTCTCTAACAACAGAGGAAAGAGCAGTAGCATCATCTGCTGTAGCATGGCAACTACTATGAACTATTAATGCGTATCATTCCTCCGAGGGAAGATTGAAAGACAAAAATGAGCTGTTAAGACCCTGTATCAGACAACTAGATAATAAAACTACATTTCTGACAGGGCAAGCTGCCTCATCTTCATATCATTTCCCCTCTAAAATTAATAACTACATCATTAGAAGGGGAAAAGGACTCAGATCAAGAGGATCCTTGGATCCTGGTTGAATCTAAAAATAAAAGGAAACTCAAAAAGACAGAAGTCCAACTAGAGGATTGGAGAACCTCAGATCCTCTAGAAATAAGACCAATAATTATTCAAAAAAATAAGGAAGTCCCAGATAGACTAGCAAGGTTGCCACCTGAGGAGTGGCCCCCTGCCCACACTCACATTAGAAGTGATAGCACGCCCATACACAGCCACCGAATTCATGGATTTATTACAATGATTTAAACAGAAACAGTGAAAGAGCATACCAGTTTGGCTCTTAAGATTATGGGACATGGGAGTTGAAGGTATGGTTATTTAATGAACTAGAGATTTCTAAACTTGCATCCATCACCACACATTCGGCCCTCAGACGAAGACTATATGCAACTGTAATGCATAATGAGAAAAATCATTCTCTAATTTGATGAATAATGGCTGCATGTAGAATCATGCAGCCAAATAAAAGCAATGTCCCAATAAATACTGGTCTATGGACTTTGATGGAGGAACCTCAAAATTATATCAGAGAACTGGGAATGAAGGAGACGATTTATGATGGCAACTTTGAGAGTCTGGACCTGGTTAAGTTCTCAGCAGAGATGAGGGTCCTCGTATTACAACAGGTGCCTCCCCACCAGTATGGCACACTAGTGTCCATACTAAACCCTTTGGTAGCCTCAGAGGCCATTGTCCAACAAGCCACCCAGTTAGTGGCTGGTCTAGGAGAAAAGGAGTGCCTGTAGACCAGGTGCAATATCTGGACAGTGGAAGGGGCAAAGGTCCTCCCTATAACTAAAACTAGGAGACCTGCCCCATGAACTTCTCAATTGGGACCCATAAGGGTATCCTGAAAACAGATGTTAAATGATTTAATCCAGGCTGATGTTCAATTTGCAAAAATTGATTGCAAGCTCAATCATGTTCTCCTCCAGATATGGAAGCAGCTGGATGAAAATCAAAAATTTCAAAACACCCCCAAAAAAGCAGGGATAAGAATTATTGAACAAGTACCAATGAGAACATGGAACTTGGAAGAGTTCATACTTAGTGAAAAAAGGAAAAAGCCTCCTCAAGTGACCTGGGTCACTATGCCCAAGCCACACGAGGAAATAGAAATGGTGATTGCACAGTTACTTGAGTGACAGGGGATGCCAGCCCCCCTGCACCTAGGGACCCCAGGTGGGACCGGAGGCCCTATATTGAATAGACTATTTTTTGGTCCTGGAAGAACATACATCAAATGTTGGCATTAGTAGACGTGGGCACAGAAATCGTGATTATTTATGGTGATCCAACTAAATTCCATGGAGATAGGGTGATGCTTGGTGGGTTCTAAGGACAGGCCATCCCCATAACCCAGACATGGTTGAATTTGGGGGTCGGGCGTCTCCCACCCCAGGAGTATAAGATGTCTGTTACCCCAGTCCTGGAGTATATACTGAGCATAGACATACTATGGTGTCTAACCCTCCAGACAACTGTGGGAAAACTCAGACTTCGACAGAGAGATGTATTAGTATCTGGGCAGTGTGATATTAAGAGGCCATGCAAAACATGAGCCTATTTGCCTGCCAGAGCTGAGCTGGATCACTAATACTAAGTGGTATAAACTCCCCGGGGACAAGAGGAAGTCTCAAGAATGGTACAGGAACTAGAAAAAGTAGGAATCTGTATGGGAAATGCTGAATCATGGCCTGAACCTCTGATTGACCACCTGAGGTGAGCAATGAGTCAGCCCTGGGAGCACAGGTGAAGACGATTCTCCTGCGCTATCGGAAAGGGTGGAGCCTGGCTCCACCTCTCCTAGACCCCATCGAAGAGCTATCTACAACTGGGGAAGGATCTTTTTTGGTTTCTCTTGGAGCCTTTTCAGTGAGCCTAGGACAAGGATGAGCTTTCTATCTTCTTCTTTTGTATGATAACCTGTTTAGCCTAATTTTCCTGTATATTTCTTAATTATAACATCTGTATATTTGTTGATTATACAGAATCATAAGACTTGTACATAGTCCATATAATTCCCCCATGTGGCCAGTACAAAAGTCAGGTGGCACATGGAGAACAACAGTGGATTATAGAGAGATTCTAGAGAATTAAATAGGGTCATGCCACCCATTCATACAACCGTTCCAAATATTGTCTCCCTGATGGACACTGAGTAGGGAGATAGAAACCTACGGCTGTGTCCTAGACTTAGCACACGTATTCTTTAGTATTCCCATCCATGAAGAATCATAAGATTGGTTTGTGTTTACATGGGGAGGCAGGCAGTGGACCTTCTAGGTTCTGCTGCAGTAGTACATGCATTCACCAATCTATTATCACAACTTAATGGCACATGACCTAGCAGATTGGAATAAACCCAGTAATGTCAAACTGTACCACTATATTGATGATCTCATGCTGATGTCTGACTCAATGGAGGCATTAGAAAAAGGGGCAGATTCATTGACTACTGATTTATAGGAGAAAGGGTGGGCTATAAATGCACAGAAGGTGCAAGGACCAGGCCTGTCTGTGAAATTCTTGGGTGCGGTTTGGTTGAGAAAGACCAAAGTACTACCCAGTGCCATAACAGACAAGGTTTGGGTGTCCCCAATACCTATCACACCAAGGCAGCTGCAAGAATTGAGTGTATTGGGATACTGGTGTTCCTTTATATCCCACTTAGCGCAGCTGCTGAGGCCTTCATACTTACAAAGAAAGGCCAAAAATGGAAACGGGAGAACAGAACAAGATGCATTCCAGCAAGCAAAACTAGCTGTTAAACAGGCCCAGGCACTGGGTATATTTGATTCCACTGTTCCAGCCAAACAAGATATCCATGTAACTCAGGAAGGGTTTGGCTGGGGCCTATGGGAGCACCAGAATTCCATTCAAAGCCCAGTTGGGTTCTGTTCTCAGGTTCGGCAAGGAGCAGAGAGGTGTAGTATGATTGAAAAACAGTTAATGGCTACCTACTCCACATTACAGGCAGTAGAGCCAGTAACCCAAACAGCTGCAGTTACAGTGAAAAAGACCTTGCCAATTCAGGGGTGGGTGAAAGATCTGACACACCTTCCTGAGGCGGGGTGAACCAGGCACAGACAGTGACACAAGGGGTCACCTATCTCAGCCCCAGAGGAGTAGTCTGTCTTCATCACCATTGAAAGAAGAGCTCCAAAAGATCCTAGGCCCAGTGATGTATCACAGTGACATGCCAGAAGAGACAAAGCTTGCACCACTGGAGGAGAGTTCCACTCAGGAAGGGAAATATCCCATGCCTGAAGATGCCTGGTATATGGATAGGTCCAGGAAGGGTAACCCGAACAAGTTGGTGGCATACCTCCACAGAAACAATCTGGTTTGAAGAAGGGGATGGTCAGAGTAGCCAATGGGCAGAACTGTGAGCCATTTAGATGGTTATAACCAAGGAACCCGGTGATGGTATCCTGAACATCTGCACAGATAGTTGGGCTGTGAACCGGGGCTCACTCTTTGGATTGCACAGTGGGACACCCAGGAATGGACTATCCATGCCAACCAATCTGGGGCAGAGATATGTGGTTAGACATATGGAATACAGTTAAACACAGGGCCATACATGTCTACCACGTTTCTGGCAACAGTCCTGTACAGTCACCAGGAAATGATGAAGCGGACACGCTAGCCCGAGTTTGATGGATTGAGAATTCACTGTCTGAGAACATCACCCGCTGGTTACATCAGAAGTTGTGGCATACCAAACACAAGACAATGTAGGCAGCTGCTAAGGCATCAGGGCTACCCATACACCTGTCTGATGTCATCCAAGCATGACAAAACTGCAGTGTTTGCTCCAAGATGAGACCAAGACCGTTGCCCGAAACAACAGCCCATCTTGTTAGAGGACACAATCCTCTCCAGCAATAGCAGGTCAATTACATTGGGCTCATCCCTTGGTCTGAGGGGGTGAGATATGCCCTGACCTGCATCAACACCACAAATGGGCTAATGTAGGTGTATCCAGTGCCAAGGGCAAACCAGGCATATACTATCAAATCACTTACCAAGTTGATAGCCACCTACAGGACACCTCAAGACATCAAGAGCAACCAAGAGACTCATTTCACTAGCACAATAGTACAACACTGGTCAGAAGAAAACACTGAATGGCGATTCTACCTGCCATATAATTTGACGGGCAAGCCTTATTGAACACTATAACAGATGACAGACAAATTGTACAAGCATTACAGTGTACCGGGTCACCATAATTGAAAGGGCTTACCTTTAACCTTCTCAATCACTGGTTCACTCCGTGAGCAATAGAGTGTAGTGGAAATACTAAGTCAAGGCTTCGAAACAGTGATTGAGCACCTGGTAGAAAGGCAGAGCCATCCCATGGGAGCTCAGGTGCATACAATGTGTATTTGAGTAAATGGAAGGGGTGGAGCAAGGATCCACCCTTCCCAGACTTCATTTAAGGATTGGCAGTGACGGTAAGGGGGTGTGGAACTTTTGCTTTTAGGTAATACTTATGTGGTATTTTGTATTGAAGGCTAAAACATCACCAATTCACTGTTGTTATTAACATAATTAAGTTATTTTGAAGAAACAAAGTAAGAAGAGTTTCATGTGGTTTTTTTTTAGTTAGGAGACCATTTTTAGTGGTAGTGGAAGGTAAAAGCAGATCTTGATGTACCTATTGTTATGAATAAGATATAAATCTTGGTTTTTGTTTTGCTTGTTTTCTGTATACACGTTATATATTGTTTTTATTGGAGTCTTTCTCTTATGATAAGAAATCTGGGGTATAACTTGTTTTATTTAATTAGTATTGTTTTTCTTAATTGAGACTTTATGGTTCAGTTTTTTAAATCAATTTGGATACACACCTGGGAGAGCAGTTTAACTTTTTAGTAAATTGAGTTGGCTTAAATTTCAGTGCTTATGTTCAAAAGCTATGATAGTAAAAGCCTGTTTTGGAGAAGTAATTTTCTGGTGCTCTCATTCTTGAAAGAGAGGTTCTTTGTGCAGCACTGCATTTCAGTTGCTGATTTGCTCCATGTTACTCAGAATACTGTTGTACTTTTTGTAAAGCAACTTTCAAAACTAGACTTTTTAAGGCTTATTTTCTTGACTTATAAAGGTAAGTCAGTAGCAGTAAGGAACAAAGTAACTCATGGATATAGCTGTTGCAGTGATTGGGTAGCTGGAGGGTAATCATTGATGCTAACATAATAATGAAGGTTCTGATGCTTTTTGGTGGTCGTATTTTCACTATATTTCTTGCTTTCTGCCTGGATCCTTCAGGATGCTCTCAGAAAATCTCTTCCCACCATCAAAGTGTGTTTTTTTTTTATTATTTTTATTTATTTTTTTTTCTTTCTAAGAGCATTGTTTTGTGTTATAACAACACTTGAGTTTGTGACAAGCTGAGAGTGTTGGGACTCTTCAGCCTAGACAATAGAAGCCTCTGAGGAGACCTTATGGTGGCTTTTCAAGTATCTGAAGGGGCCTACAGGAAATCTGGACAGGTACTTTTTAGAAAGGCATGTAGTGACAGGATGAGGGGAAATGGTTTTAAACTAGAAGAGGGTAGATTTAGGCTAGGTATTAGGAAGAAATTCTTTACTGTGGGGGTGGTGAGATACTGGAACAGGTTGCCTGCTGAGGTTGTGAATGCCCCCTCTCTGGAAGCATTCAAGGTCAGGCTAGATGGGGCTTTGAGCAACTTGGTCTAGTAGGTGTCCCTGCTTGTAGCAGGGGGGTTGGAACTAGATGATCTTAAAGGTCCCTTCAAACCCAATCTGTTGTATGACTTGTGCTGCTTAGCTGTGGATAGTGATGACCTCTGCTACATCATGGGATTTATTCAGTTGCTGTGTCTATGTTCTTTTCTGGCTTGATCCCATTTCTCAAGGTCAGAGCTGAGGACTGGAATATAAACAGGGAGACAGAATCTCTCATTATTAGCCAGAGTCTGGGAATCCTCCCTTTGTGTCAGTGTTAGGATAGATGAGAGAAAAATTACTTCAAAGAAACGCGTTCAAGCAGGTTTTATGGAGTGATACAGTACATACATCTTAGCATTATCTCTCCTTTCTGCCAAATCCAGTGCTACAGAGACTCCTCTAGATAGTCCCTTGGGCAGTGGTGCTGGGGTGATATGAGTCTTGCCCTCTTTTGGAGGGGAGGGGGGATGGTGCTGGCTACTTGTGTCTTGATCTCAGGAATTATTCCTTCATGAATGTAGTGAAATGGTGAGGTTAATGAGCTTGATAAAGAGTTCATACTTATTTGTATACTCTTCCATGCTCTTTAAGGTAGAATGGGAGAGGAATGTTGAAAGCCACTGATGTGCGTGGTCTATTTCAATTTTTTTTTGGTTTTTTTTTAGTGTTTGTCTTGGCTACGTGTTTTTCAGCTGATGATACAATATTGAGATAAAAGTAGAACTTCTGTCTTATCAGCTGATGTATCTTCCCCATTCCTTAAACTGCTCTTGTAGGAAAAGACTGCCATAGCCTTGCAGTTTTCCTTGAATTTTTGAACTTGTCAAGGCCATAGAATTGTTTGGAGGAGTGTGAAGTCAGTGGGCGAGGGACTTGTGTCACCAAGGACTCACTTTGCCATGTAGAGAGCATACTGGGAATTTAAGTGAAGTCACAGTGGAAAGGGTATTGTTCAGTTTGCACACTGAGGGGTATTTGAAATAGTTCAGCTTTAACAAGTAAGCTGTTCATCCCTCACAGACAGTAATGTGAATCTTTGCACTGTAGTGCCCGAGAGCTATTTTGTAATAGTATATAACTATTTTAAAAGGGTATTTCTTTTCAGACTACTTTGTGTAGTAGGGAAGTACTTTGATTCTTTTTTCTTTTAGTTCTTCATCTAAAATATAAACTTATTTGCATGAGTGACTAATAGAATTGAGCTGAGAGTCTCTACCATTGTAGTTACAGTGACACAGCTATCCAAGAAAAAGAAATAAGGCAGTTCTCTTATAGGGTGTGTTTTGTTTGGCTTGAGAGTTGTTTGAGCTAAGCCAGAAAGAACTTTCCTTTCTGTGTGTGTGTGTGTGTCTGATACAGGAGGCTTTATTCAGTGTAGTTACAGAAGTGACCCAGAGTGACTGGAGGAAGTTAAGACAGCTAGCTGGTGATAGATAAGGGAGGAAAATCCGAAGTCTCAGTTCATATTTAAAAGCACTGAAACATTCTCTATCAAATGCTAAGAGAGGATGTGTAAGGAAACTGAGCTTGGTCTCTGTGGAATAACAGCAAGACAATATCAGCAAAGCAAAAAGTCCTATAGCCAGGTAATGTCTTATGTGGCTAAAAAGGAGTGAGGAGAGGACAAACTGAGCTATAGTTTAAATTTTCATTTTTAATGTCAAAATGAAGGTGTGTGAGAATTTATTGTAGAAGTTTCAGAATGTGGAGTAGCTAAATTTAAATTTGAGAATACTGAGAAATACAAAGCTAGGATTCATATCCCCACCCCAAACAAGTGGCATTGTTCCCTCTTAGACCCTTCTATATTCTTCCCTGTAACACCTTGATATTTAGAAAAGTTGTATTTATAAAATGCAAGATTATATATTGAGATTGCAAATATGAAATTTCATTAACAGTATTTTTGCTTATTACCAAGTATTAGCACACAAAAATGGTAATGACTTAATCCTTTTGTTAACTTATGTGGAGGACTTAATTAACATATTGAATTTCAAGGGCAGTTTTTCTTCGAACTCTTGTTAATTTGCTGCAACAGATGTTTCTGAAAATGTGGCTAGTTACTTAATATGAAATCATATCAAAATGTAAATCATACATCTGTTTTCCCTAGTTTTGTTTGCTTTTTTGCTTCCTTCTCCTTCCTGTACAGGTAATGTTTGCATCTACTGGAATCAGGGAGATCTTGTCTTGCAAATTCAATGTTAAAGTAAGCCTGGACCCTTCTAAAGATTAGATTGATGCTATTCTACAAATTTTAAACCACACAAGAAGTAATGAACAAAATTAGTTTTGTAATATGATGAGAACGGTGCAGTGTTGTCTGTTTACCTCAGTGGAAAGGAAACGTCATGTGCTTGCTGTTTGTTTGTGTGAAACAAATCTTTCAACTTCACTTTGAAGCAAAATCAAGTAAAAATGTGGGTTGTATTATAAAAACAATTAGTATGAGGTAAGAAATGAGTCAGAATTTGGGATGACAGATCTGACTTATGTTCAGGGAAAAGAACCTAGAGGTTCTGCTACAGATTGATTCTCCCTACCTACTGGAAAAGGGATGGTTATTGTCTTATGTATGATAAATAATGATTGCGAACAAACAGAGGTATTATGAGGCATGAATCCTTAATTTACCTACACTTTTGGGAATCCTGTTAAATTAAGAGGATGAAAAAAAAATGACTAAATTGTGTGGAAGTAGAGCAGGGATGATGTTTTAATAATGCAATTAACCAATTTATTTTGTTAATTTCTAGTTGCAATGTGGATGATATATACACCTTTAGAAAGGCCTGTTAAAAACATCCAGGTATATCTAATCGTAGAATTGTTAGTGGATATATTGTAAGTGGTTCCTGAGAAAGGACTGTATTGTTGGGGCCCTTTTAAATTTTTTTTTTGCTTTTTTTGATAGTAACTACTTTTTTTGTTTTAACTCTCATGTTAACTTTTTTTTCTTACTCATTAATAGGTAGCATAGATCAGTCAGTATTAAAGGAGTTGCCTCCTGAGCTACTGGCAGAAATTGAATCCACCATGCCACTTTGTGAACGTGTGAAAATGAACAAGCGCAAACGTAGTACGGTTAACGAGAAACCAAAATATGCTGAAATCAGTTCTGATGAAGACAATGACAGTGAAGAAGCTTTTGAATGTAAGTAGTACAACATTCTTTTTCTATTGCTAAAGACTAACATTTTACTTTTACAATTTGTACTATTTTTAGTTAATTATTTTTGAGAAGTTGGCTAGCCTAAAACATATGAAAACAAGTTTGCTGTCCAGACAACTGCTTGGCCAAAAACATTTTCTTCCTTCTAAAAGAATAACTACTTTAGGTCAATTTGTAGCTCAACTTGTACTACTGTTTCCCTGGTACGATGTGGAAAAATGGGAATTAGTTCTGATGGGTTCTCAAATCATCACTTACTAGACTTGAATTAAGGGATCTCAACAGAAGAGAGGAAGTTTATAGTTTAAAATTTTGCTGCGTGATCTGATAGTTTTTGTATGTGCTTGTAACTTAAGGGAATTTGCTACTACTTAAGAGCATAATTAGTTTGTAAGTATGGAGATTTAGTTAGCCAACACTGAAAAGAAACTCGATTAAAGTGAAGTGAATCAATTAAGTCCAAGTAGCATCTTAACTGCTTTACTTATGTAGAGCTACAGCAAAAGTACCTGTTAGTGTTAACCTGAGAAGGCATTTTGCTTGTATGAACATCTTATGGAACTTCTGTAAAACGTGTTTTGTTTCTAAGGCTCCAAAAGAGAAAGATTTGGTTGTCCTGCTTTTTAATGCATTTCAATTTCTCCTCCAAGAAATAAGTAGTGATTATGAACACATACATATAAAAAAAAAAAAAAAAAAAAGTAATCGTGATGCCTCTGATCTTTATCAAAGAAGAATGTCCCTTTTTTTTTTTTTCTTCCCCTTAAAAAATATAATTGAAAAATATTGCCTTGACCATGAATACAAAATCTCCAAGGTAACTTGTAATCAGACCTGACTATGGCAAAGAATTATTTGCTTACTCAGGATACAGTATTTTCTTTTTGCCATATAATATTACCTGCTTATTGTGTTAATTATCTGGAACAGGGAAATAAAAGAAGTGAAGCAAAACTACTTAAGATGGTTGTAGCAGAGAGGATTGTCAGAAATTTCAGTGAGACTTTAATCTAGCTATCAGTCACATTGGCTATTGAAATAGTTAAATATGAAATAATGCTAATTAAGAAAAACTTGGACATTTGTTACATGCTTTAAAGGTACTCATAGTTCATTATATCCAGTCATGAGATCTGGCCATTATTATAAACAGTAGGTGAGGACATAAGATTTAAAAATGAATTATAATATTTCTTAAAGGATACTGTAGAACTGAATAAAAGAGAGGAAAAAATGATCGAGATGATTTAAAAAAAAAAAAAAACTGACGAATACACTGAATATATTTGTATTGTTCCATGTGTCTATTTCAGAATTATTTGTCTAAAATTGAACTCTAACAAAAGGAAGTGATTGCATTTAAGTTTCTCAGTCCATTAAATGATGAAAAATTAAAAAATGGATAAAATCTTTATACAACAAGTGCTCAGGTGTGTTATTGTTTAAATGTCAGAACAAGGAAACAGCATGTTTTTTAACACAGATACTCCTTATCGATGTGTAAAATTCAGTAATATTTGAAAAAAATACTATTAGGTTTACATTTTATGTCAATTTTGTGTACTTTGGGTAAAATCCATAGAGCAATGTCTAATTATGAGTAGTTATACTCATGTTCATCTTAGTTGCCTTGCAGAGTAAATACAAGTGTAATGTATTCTGTTTTGTCATGCAGCACTGATAAAATGGTCAATTTAAATTTCTGATGGAAAGTGATACTGGAAGTAAGTTCTCTTATGGAGAAGTAGCTGGGGTCATGTCACAGAGTTAAAAAGATCAATCTATGCCCATGACAGGGGGGCAACAATAGGCCCCTGCCCTCCCCTACTCCCCGGCCCAACAAAATGGGAAGGAAGGAAAAAATAAAAAAAAAAAAAAAAAGAAAAAAAGAAAAAAAAAAATAAAATAAAAAAAGAAAGCAGCAACAATCTATGGAGGAAAACTTAGTTTACTAACTGTGATATCGGAATACAAGATAAGACAATATAATAAAATTTAACTGAAACGATAGTGAGACTAATAAATAAAATTGAGGGAGAGAGAGAGCCTGAGACACACGCATACCTGAAAAGCTTGGAATGGCTAAGAAAGCATGCTCCAACACCCACTGCCAGGCAGTAACAGACTACCCAACCAGGAAGGACCAGATCCTGTGACTTAAAGGGATAGGTACCTGGACGTGGAGGACTAACACTCAAACTCCCAGTGCCTTGCATGATGTTACGATGTGGAATACTGAAAACCGAAAAATCACAAAACTGTGATATTACACCCCTTATTCTACATCATTACATTGTGCTTTATATACACATAAACAAATAACGACTAAAATACTTTACATACATGTCTATACACATGTACATGGAATTACTGAGCGCACTCCACCAGCATGAAGTTTCCTGGTGGTACGCATTGAACAAGAGCATTTTTATGCATTACCCACGAAGTGGATCCTGGTCCCTGGGCAAAAACTGTACCACGGAGAGGTTTGCCCTTTCCAGAAGCTGGAAGAACCCAAATTGCCTTTCCCGGCATGCTCTTCACATGTACAACAGGGACTTTATCTCCCTCTACGGTATGTAGGGAACTGGATTGGTTAGGACCATCACGATTGACAGATCCTCTGGTATTGACTAACCAGGTGGCTTCTGCCAAATACTTCTCCCAGTGCTTAAATGTTCCGCCACCCAGTGCTTTTAGCATCATTTTTAACAATCCATTGTATCGTTCAATTTTACCAGAGGCTGGTGCATGGTAGGGAATATGGTAAATCCACTCAACGCCATGATCTTTGGCCCAAGTATTTACAAGAGAATTTTTGAAATGAGTCCCATTATGTGACTCAATCCTTTCTGGGGTGCCATGTCGCCACAGGACTTGTTTCTCGAGACCCAGTATGGTGTTTCAGGCGGTAGCATGGGGTACTGCATATGTTTCGAGCCACCCAGTGGTTGCCTCCGCCATAGTAAGCACATAATGCTTACCATTGCGAGATCGTGGCAAGGTGATATAATCAACCTGCCATGCCTCCCCATATTTGTACTTTTGCCATCGCCCTTCCTCCCACAGAGGTTTCATCCTCTTGGCTTGTTTGATGATGGCACATGTTTCGCAGTTATGAATAACCTGTGCAATGGCATCCATAGTTAAGTCCACCCCTCGGTCTCTAGCCCATTTGTATGTTGCATCTCTCCCTTGATGACCTGAGGTCTCATGGGCCCACCGAGCTAGAAATAATTCACCCTTGTTCTGCCAGTCCAGGTCTATTTGAGCCACCTCAATTCTGGCAGCTCGATCTACCTGATGGTTATTTTGCTGTTCTTCAGTAGCCTGACTCTTGGGCACATGAGCATCTACATGGCACACCTTTACAACCATATTCTTTATTCGGGCAGCAATGTCTTTCCACAGTTCAGCAGCCCAAATAGGTTTACCCCTTCTTTGCCAGTTATTTTGCTCCCACTGCTGCAACCACCCCCATAAGGCATTTGCCACCATCCATGAGTCAGTGTAAAGATAGAGCATTGGCCACCTCTCCCGTTCAGCAACATCTAAAGCCAGCTGGACAGCCTTTACCTCTGCAAATTGGCTTGATTCTCCTTTTCTGTCAGTGGCCTCTGCAACTTGTTGTGTGGGACTCCACACAGCAGATTTCCATCTGCGATGCTTCCCCGCAATACGACACGATCCATCTGTGAACAGGGCATATTTCTTTTCATTCTCTGGTAGTTCATTGTATGGTGGGGCTTCTTTAGCACGTGATACCTCTTCTCCTGGTGGTGTTCCAAACTTTTTACCTTCAGGCCAGTCCATGATGACCTCTAGGATTCCTGGACAGCTGAGGTTCCCCATCCGTGCTTGTTGTGTAATCAGTGAAATCCACTTACTCCAAGTGGCATCAGTAGCATGATGGGTGGAGGGAACCTTTCCTTTAAACATTCAGTTCAGCACTGGCAGTCGAGGTGCCAAAAGGAGCTGTGTTTCAGTACCGACTACTTCAGAAGCAGCCCGAACCCCCTCATAAGCGGTTAAGATCTCCTTCTCAGTTGGAGTGTAGCCCTCTTCCGATCCCCTGTAGGCTCCACTCCAGAATCCCAGGGGTTGGCTTCGGATCTCTCCTGAGGCTCTTTGCCACAAACTCCAAGTGGGACCGTTCTCTCCAGCAGCAGTATAGAGGATGTTCTTTATACCCTGTCCCGTCCGTACTGGCCCTAGGGCCACGGCACGGGCTATCTCCTGTTTAATTTGCTCAAAAGCCTGCTGCTGCTCAGGGCCTCATGTAAACTCATTTCTCATTTGCGTCACATAATAAAGGGGGCTTACAATGAGGCTGTAGTTTGGAACATGCATTCTCCAAAAGCCCACTGCACCCAGAAAAGATTGTGTCTCTCTTTTGCTAGTGTGTGGAGACATAGCAGTGATTTTGTCGATCACATCTGTCGGGATGTGACGACGGCCATCTTGCCACTTTATACCTAGGAACTGAATATCCTGGGCAGGTCCTTTCACTTTGCTTCGCTTAATAGCAAAACCAGCACTCAGAAGAATTTGGATTATTCGCTCTCCTTTCGTGAAGAATTCTTCTGCTACATTGCCCCACACAATGATATCATCAATGTACTGCAGGAGCACTGCCCTGTTCCAGTACAGTTTGGATCAACCCATGGCAAATGGTTGGGCTGTGTTTCCACCCCTGGGACAAACGGTTCCAGGTATACTGAACGCCCCTCCATGTGAAAGCAAACTGTGGCTTACATTCTTTGGCCAAAGGAATGGAAAAGGCGGCATTAGCAATGTCAATGGTGGCATACCATTTGGCTGCTCTTGACTCCAGTTCATACTGGAGTTCTAACATGTCCGGCACAGCAGCACTCAGTGGGGGTGTGACTTCATTCAGGCCACGGTAGTCCACCGTCAGCCTCCATTCTCCACTGGCTTTACGCACTGGCCATATGGGGCTGTTAAAAGGCGAGTGAGTTTTG